AGATTCGTTCGAGCTTTTATTTCAGATGTCAACTTCAAAAGCCTTTCATATATCAATATCAATCATCATAGGTGGATATATTCTTGAACATTCGGACGTTCGAATGTAATTTCCGTGATGTCCGAAACGGTATCACATTCGATCTGAGGTCATGAGATTATGTCTCAGCTCCAGGACTGTTATCAGAAACAGAAACTTAAGTTCATGCAGTGCTCTTCAGTGAAAGATTTGACTGACTTTGGCCACTGATATGAACCCCAATGAGGTTTCGACACGAAAACTGTTCCATTCCAAGTGTCATCATCAACTGGCAATTTTTTCTCGTCGTATACGACACAGAGATTGTCCAGACGAGGACCACATCCGTGCACACCTTGTGGATCTCGAATCTAAATCAGTTGTGTATGCATTTCGAATCATATTGGAAAGATCATCTCGAAAAACCAATTAGATCATAAATTCCGTGTTGAAAACAATCTCTCTTCAACAGCTCACAGCTAACACAAGCGGAATTTCATTATGCTGTATAAGGAAACGACCATTTTTGGAGGATTCCAAGCGATTCTAACGGATTTCGGCTTATTCCACGCCATCCAACCAGTCAAACAGTCCGCAGCACATTGTCGCCATAATGAGCGAACATCGGTCAACATTTGAAGAAACACCTGATTTTCATAGCATCTTTTAGCACGATCTGGGCACTGGTCAACTGATCTTCTCAGATATTTGTTTAATTTTCAAATATTTTTGTTTGTCACACTTTCGATGAATCAACTATAAATATATGAGAGCGAGAAGTGAAACTCTAAATTCTTAAGTTTCAAGTGAAGCAATGCTTCTGCAAGTTCAACCTTCAGTGCAGCCACATCAAAATCATTCCTGTGCAAAGTGTACAGAAATGATCTGGCACAATCAACGTTACGCCAATGATAAAATTGTCCTTTATTCAGGCAAGTCATAACCAACTCGTGTCGTAGCGTTGCAGTCTTCCTGAAATTCAAAAAATTTTATATCATCCACTGAAAACACAGCAACAAAGAGAGTCAGTCATGTTTCGGGAGTCCGAAAGAAAGTAGTGACTCGAAAAACAGTGAATAGATGCGATTGGAATTTAGTTGCGGTACTTTTGTTTTTTCGTTTGTCTTTCATTGAATGTCACTTTTGTTTTTTGCAAAAATTCGACGTCCGTTTTCGGAATCTTTTTCTGGAACTCGATGAATGCTTCACTGTTTCGTGCATCCGCATCGATTAATTGCTGAGCGCACTCACGTAGTTTGTCAGATATCTGAAGATTGTTCATAAAACTTCAATGGCTTTAAAAATTCCGCTGAGAAAAATCGCCCACCAACACCGGAAATCGCTTTCTAAAACGACATTCCTCAGGCAGATCTATTCCTGATCATAGGTATTGTTATTACTATTCCGTTTAAACTGTTCTATTGGGAGGCTTAGGACAGAAAAGTTTCAGAAAGCACGTGCAGAACAGAATTGAATATGACGATTGAAGGGTGGAACAGAACAGAATATAACTGTTAGCCAGAAGTGTGGAACAGAATCATCATTGATAATGTGAAAGACCTCTATCATGGAAACAACAAGAATTTTAACTAACAATATTTTTAGCTGGTGACCATGATTCGACGGAAACCAATGAATAGGCTCGTTCGACGAGTTTAATTATTGACGGCTTCTCAGAGTAGGCGATTTTAGCGATTGCCAACCAACATCTACATCGTACAGATGGTGCACTCGACACCACAAATCCACCCTTGATCAACATATAGAGTGCACCCTGAATTTTGATCGTCAGTAAGTCTCAAACAGTTAACACTCATATCAGATGCTTGGTTGCCTTTGCAAAAGTTTATCATTTCAGCTGTCTGGGGCATTAAGATTTAGAAATGTACACTGGAGTGAATAATTTTCTAATATTTAACAAACCTTGATTTCTTCATGACAAGCTTTTGTGGAAGGGTCAAGATATTTCGTGATGTCTTTTACAATTTGAGCTTTAGCATTGGGAAACTTGGATAAAATACGAATGAGTACGGTTTGTGATGCGATACGCACCTGAAATAATGAACATGCGACTTTCTAATAGTGCAAACTGGAATTTTCATTCCGGGCTCGGGCATTATTATGCTCAAGAAAGATTTCAACAGTGTATAGATTGAGGTTCGATTGAGAAATCAGCTGGAATATAGCGAAAACTTCGACGGAGTTATTTACACGCTGTCTGGCGTTATTCAATCGTATGGCTGGCTTGGGATTTTTCTACGACTCTGTGATGTGTTTCGTAAGTGCTTCATAATGAGGAAAATGTTTGTACCTCAGTGAATGAGTTGGTTCCTAATAAGACCAAATCTTTCAATATTTCCAAATGCGACGTCGTGAACTTGTCACTTCGAGGTCGAATTTCCTTAAAAATGCTCAGAATATCAAGAGACAAGTTTTGACAATCAAACGATATTCATAGATCTAAGATGATACTATTGAAATTATGCAATAAGTATTTTTTGAGTATTATTTCAGAGATTCAAAGGAGTTTTTCGCATACTTTCTGTAAGGCGAATACACGTTCCTCAAAGTTCCTGTAAAGCTCCACTCGTTTCCCTCGAATCGGATCCTCGTAGCTGGGCGACGAGGTTTCTGGTTTTTCACGGAACCGGCACTGGGACTGAAATATCGAAAAGGTTTGAGGCAAAAGATACAAATTATCATTGATGGAGATCACTTCGCTTCAAATTCGATGGTTTCAGAAGGTTTCTTCTCACCAAAGTTCCTGATGATATGAATGAGACCTCTAATATAATCTAGTTTCAATGATTTACATATGGTATCTTCTATTCATAAACGGACAAAACAACAGTTGATAAATTGAATTCAAAAATTCGATGTCATACTCCTCTAGTCGTTAGCAAATGCAGAATTGCAGGGATTTTTTCGAGAATCTTTGCTTGATCATCATGCAGCCGTAAAACATGAACAATTAAATCATGCATTGTTTGTCGAACTCGTTCCCTTACATTCTCTCCATGAAACGAAAATGCTGCAAGCAGTTCGTGAGAGAATATTGCAAGAAGGCATTTTGAAGGATCAATTCTTCCACTCAGTACCAAAAAAAATATGGCGATCTGAAGCTGAATTGCGCTGGAGAATGTAACTTCAGTCTTTGTCAGTTCAATGATAAACCAACTTTTCTTTTGTGGTGACATTGCAGATAGAATCTGTGGCTCGGTTGGGATTTCGGTTCGTGAGAGTTTGATAATTGGAGTGGTGAAATTTGGTAGACGTTTTCCGACACAAAACAGCAACTTTTCAACAATATACAGCGATCGTTTGATTGCCTTTCTGCAGAATCGAAACGGATCAATGTCATTCCTTCACGAGATCTTATATTGATAATGGCGGATCCGAACTGGTAACCTTATGAATTTATTAATTTCAAACATTTTAACGATAGTGCTCAAAGCGATACAAGGATCCGTTACTCTAAGGCACATGGATTTTCTGAAAACAGCCCTTGAGAATAAAAAAATAGCCAGACGAACTTATCCATTTTTTCGGGTGTTTGTAACACCAAAATCTCCTTAAAAACAAATTCATCGATCAATTGCTCAGCAAAACAAAGTTCGTCCACATCCGGAACATGCCATCTCATTTTAACGGTATCTTTAACAACTCCAGCTCCCCACTTCTGTAAGTGTAATGGTTTTGGTATTTTTAAAACTGACTTAAGAATATCAAAATTAAGCGAGGTGAATTCAGTGATATCTTTATGACAGTGTTTCACAGTTTGAGCACTGCTATCCAAGGTGCAAGCGATTTTGTCAGAGCAGATAAACTTCATAAAATTAATGCAATGTTCTCCTGTAAATGGTTCTCACGTTCGGGTGCTCTGTTACACCTTTTGATGATCTAGCAAGCCGACGTTATCCTCCCTTCCCNCCCCCCCCCCCCCCCCCCCCCCCCCCTTCCCTCATTAAATATGAAAATCGTTGCTCATTACTGCAATCGATTATGATTGCATGAAAAGCTATTGTCTACGACACGTTCATTTCAAACTGTTCTGCATGGATTCTCATTCTTTTCAGACGTGTTGTAGTCACTCTCATAGCTATTGCATGTGAATACCGTTCTCTTCATGAGTTTTTATCATTCACTTCGTCTCATTTCACTTCACTGTTCGAATCATCATCTCATTCTGTAGCATATACTGTTTACTGGATATGTCGACGAGTGTTGACAACCGAAGTCAACAATACAACAATTGAATATTATTGATCAACAACGTTCGGCTGTCAACTGATTAATTATAGAGTGTATTTGATAGAATGAGAATTTGACTTTAATTGTTGAATGAAATGAATGAGAAATTATCGGAAGTGAACACTTTTGGTGATAAAAGTTATGAGAGCGATTACAACAGCTCGGAAAAGAATGAAAACCCTGTTAAAACAGTGAAAAAGGAATCCTGTTAGGCCCGGACGAGCTAATGATACATAAAAAAATAGGAGAATGAAGAGTGTTGCCATCAACTAACCTCATTTTCATACCCGAGCTGAAAAAATACCCTCACAATGGCGTTCCTATCATAACACAACAGCTGCATGGAATACTTATTTCCCGATCTCTTCCATTGCCCCTCCATTACCCCTTGTCACCTCCAAATTCCCCAAAATGGGTAATTTCACCCCATATGAGAACCACTGACTTAGAAGATGAGAAGAGTGAGCGAATAGACTGGAATCTTAACCCAGATAGGCGATTGGTAGTAAAAAGTTGAGAAATAGACTGGAATCTTAACCGACTGATCTAGAGAATGTTTCCAATAAGTGATTCGAACTGAAATATTCTTCAAGTGTTCAAGATGCCTTAGTGACTGTTCAACTACCTCAATTATCAGTGATTCTTTCAGAGGTTTGTTCAGCTCCATTTGTTGATCATTCTCACTCAACGGATAAACTTCTGTCAACTGAGTGAGTACATTCGTCAATGACCAACACGCACCCTAAAACAATTAAATTACAAGCGTATGCCCTGTATTTGATGCATTCTTGGATTTAACAGAAGATTACCTGGTAAGCATTCAAGCAATGCATTGATATTGCCATCTTGTGTAGTTGTATGCATTCGGTCTTATATTTCAAAATAATTTGACTTGGAACTGAGAAAAGCACCATTCCTAGATAGATAAACCACATTGTTGCAGCGTCTAACACTTCTAAATGCTGTTTCTCCTCTGAAAGAATTTCAGCATTTTATAAGTAATTGAGATGAAATCTAACATTGAGGTGATGAAACCAAACGATTCAGTGAGGGAAATAAACAAGTTAGACAAATCAGATTCTATGATATGATCAAAGATTTGCTGTTGAGAGATCAAATTACCGCAGTTCAGCTCTTTCAAGTTTTCCATGACATGTTTCAAATAGAGTGGCGTATACTTAGCAGGATTCGCCTGCAATATGGAAGTAATACGAACCAAGGAAATGTTCATCTCTCTGATGCGAACGGTGAAGGTATCAAGATCTCAAGTTCATGAATCCAAATCTTTAGAAAACAACTGCCATAAAATGCTTTTCCCTCAAACGAAAGTCTTAGGATACTCGAAGCAACAGATCAGTGAAGTCAATCCTTACATAAGTACATTCCTGAACCAGTGCACACATCGCATCTGCGGCAATCGCATTTTCGGTTTGCATCGTACGCACGAAATTGTAGATTTGTTCAGCAATCAACTGAAACTTCCATTTTTTTTCAACTGTGATCTGACCTTAAGCTAGTTAACGCTCTTAAGGTCTGTCCTTGAGCTATACAACATAGAGATCTTCACTTTCTGGGCTTGATGTAATCGACTACCATTAGGATTTCCTTATAGGATTTCGTTTGTTTTGCATTGGAATTGATTTATAAATATAGAAACCTCGACAATTGCAGATGATGAATTGTTGAGAAGCGATCGAAATGCCGACTGTATACGAATGTTTACGAGCAGCTCATCCTCACCGCCATAACCTGCTTGAGCTGCCGAAACGTCACATATCGAATCCAAGCATGTAGTTGAATCTTTTGGTACCGCAGTTCCCAGTTGCGTTATAAGCGTGAACACACTGAAAAACAGTATCAAGTGTTAATGGTGTTGTTGTGATGAATATGATTTAGTATTTGTCAAACGCATTGCTATCTTGCAATAATCTTTCGAAAGTAAGCTAAACACGATGTTAAATTCTCAGTTTCATAAATGTGATTTGAAAGTTTTGCCGATATTTCTGTGTTATTGTGGAACAACAAACCGGTCCATCAACTTAGTGACGATTTTCGGTAAGGCTGCTGTTAGAATGCATAAGTTTTTATCATCTTCACTCAATGTTTCATAGCTCTCCATTCTGAGTGCTTCAGAACAATCCACAACGGGAATGAGCGCAAAGAATGTTTCGATTATCTGAATTCAAATGAGTTCTCGGGACAATTCTATCAAGATTGCAGAGAAATGAAAATTATTTCACATAATTTCATGCGATGAAAGGAGCCAAAACGGTGGTTGTTCCATTGTTCACGCAATTCGTTTTGATCTAAACATAAGATTTAGTTCATATGGACCATTTATAGGTAATCTGTCAAAGTATTTTTGATGAATTACCCTGAAAGCTAGCGATAACTTCACGATATCGTTGATATCGATGGCAGAAACCAAACAGTCCAGCAGTACGATCGCATGATATCGTAACGGCTCTCTTCCTGGAGCATTCCTTTGTAACTGCACAGAGCGTATTGAGTCTTTTGGAGGGTGACTCTTCCACATTTTACGTAGCACCAAACTTTCGGTAAACATTAAAGCCTCCATACTATCCTGAATCAACAATATCAACAAATCAGCAGTTCAGCAATCAGAAATTTGTTAGAAAAAGCTTGAAATCCACAGAAATTTCATCTCATCTCACCATGTTATCATTCCGCATTTCGTTGATCCAATTATGAGAGCATTTATTGAAATTCGCATAGAAACGTTTGCCATCATCTCTGATCAACGGTACACAAACCTCAGCCAAACATTCCAGCGATTGTTTGAGGCGATTCGGTTCGGTGGTATTTGAAAATGATGGATATACACTGAAAGCTATCAGATAATAACACGAACAGGTGGATTAGTCTAAGGAATTTTTCATTGAAACCAAACATAAAACGATGAAATGAAATTCGTTAAACGACTCACAAATCAATGACTTGAGGTAGCACAAGGTGTGGTGCCAGAAAGGCGAGAAATCTGAGTATGTTGGATGGCAGTGAGGTTTCAACCGTCGAAAAGGCTGAATAAGTTACCGACGGTAACAGAATTGTTACGAATGACTCGATTTGGCTGTCTGTTAATCGCATCCATTTGGGAACCTGCAAAATTACTTATTTAATTTTATTTGCACAAGATCTATAATACGAAAACGAGAGACTGCCATTTGCACGTTTTAAATGTTGTCTTAAGCAATTGTAAACGAATGCATCAGTTGCGAACAGTTCAAACGGCAAAGCGTTCACAGCTCCACTTCTTAGCAGTATGATGCCTGACATTCCTATTTGATGATATTGTTTTATCATTGGAGATATCGTTTCATCGGAATTTTTGAGACCATTGCCTTAAAATTCTGGAGTATCCATTCGCGTTTTCGATCCGGACACTCTTAATCCAGGCCAACTGTATTATAAGGAATGATTAGGTTGCATAAAGTTAAACCTTATGTTTGGTTTTATTTCGAACGCGTTCCATACGAACACGTCTGACCATTTCGTTGACCAGTGCCGCAAGAAACAGCTGTAAGGTTAGGGTATGACCTCCATCATGTAGTGGATGAAGAAACGATTCGATACATCGAATTAGACGGCACAGATGGCGTTCAGCACTGAAACCAAGCAGTATGAAGAAGGAAACATTCAGTTGGGCGAAAAAACCCTGAATTGCTGAAAATCCGTCATGCCACAAAGGACGGTTAGCTAACCTATCGTTCGGCCCACCCAACATCCACACAATCCATTCGGCACCAGACGACTCTGAACCCATTCCGGATCCATCGCCCACTGATACTTTACCACCTCGAACGCTCAAGTCCATTGCTCGTAAGAGTTTCGAGAAT